CTATATCATTTTGAGTGCTGCTTGGCTGTCTGAGAACAAGAATATCTGTACATATCTTAATGCATTTTTAAGTATTATTTTTTGTAAGTTCTACTTCATGGATCTCAGCTTGGAAAATTGACGATTTGTGGCTTTGTGGTTTCGATAGGCCAAAATTTTGGCAGTTTACTTTTGCCATCCTCATTTAAGATTCATTTTTGATCGATTCAATTTGTGAGTTCGTTCAATCAAGTTCAAAAAGTTCCTTCAATTATATCATTTTGAGTGTTGCTTGTCTCTCTGAGAACATGCATCAGCTTGCAAATTTGACGATTTGTGGCTTTGTGGCTTCGGTAAGTCAAAACTTTGGCGTTTTACTTTTACCTCCCTCATTGAAGATTAATTTTTATCGATTCAAATTGTGACTTCATTCAATCAAGTTCAAAAAGTTTCCATATTTATATCATTTTGAGTGATGCTTTGCTGTCTGAGAATATGCATATCTGTACATCTATTGATGCATTATTAAGTATTTCTTTTTGTAAGTTCAACTTCATGGATTTCAGCTTGTAAAATTGACGAGTTGTAGCTTTGTGGTTTCGGCATGTCAAAATTCTGGCGTTTGGCTTTTGTCACCCTCATTGAAGATTAATTTTTGATCGATTCAAATTGTGACTTGGTTCAATCAAGTTTAAAAAGTTCCTTTAATTATATCATTTTGTGTGTTGCTTGTCTCTCTGAGAATATGCATCAGCTTGCAGTTTAAGTTTTTTTTTCCTTCTACAGGACTATTACCTGGGCGCGTGCCCAGGGAGATCATCTTCCGTCGGGTCGTCCGCGCTGTGCGAGGAGGTCCTCTTCTGCGACGGACGGCCGCTCCTCTCTTCGACGCCGCCTCTGGTCCTTATGTCCTCTTCCTCGCCGTGGTCCATCGTCGTCGGGGAGCAGTTGGGGCAACTCACTGGCCGGCTCATGCCTGACAGGTAGCATAAAGCATCTGTCCCTGTCCATATTACTGCACGCGACAGCCTGCGAAGAGCGCAGAGCGATCAGAGACATGGTGAGGAGCACCCTCGGTTTGTTACTCTTGGAACCCTCCGGAATTGCCCCACGCGCCACGATCACGATGCCTTTGGCCGTAAAATGCGGCTTCTGGCACCGCTCTCGAAGCACCATGCACTTCTCGCCCTTTGCCTCCGCAACGCGGCTTAGCGCGTCGCCAGATTCATATGCCACTGCAAGATCTAGTACATGTACCTCATCCTGATTAGTGGCGATTATGTCCGGTCGCAGTTTGTTCAAATAAGTCTCAGGAATTTACTTTGTATTGTATCATTTTCAGTGCTGCTTGGCTGTCTGAGAATATGCATAACTGGGCACCTTTTAATGCATTTCTATGTATTATCTTTTTGTGAATTTTATTCCATGGAACTCAGCTTGGAAAATTGGTGGTGTGGGACCTAGAGGTTCAGACCTAGGACAAAATCTTGGCCTTTGACTCCTGGAACTGTATTTAAAGACCCACTCTCAAACTCACAAAAAGAAATAAAAATGCATTAAAAATAAGCATATTCGCAGAGTGACAAGCAGCACAGACGATTTTAGACACTTCCACCTCCCACTCAAAGCTGATCTGGGCTTAAAATATACCCAACTCTTGGGAAAACGAAATAATGTCACTTTGATGTGGGTGCCAGGACATGAATTGAAGGCAACGAACAAACAAACAAGTAAAAACTAGAACAGCCTTCAAACCCTTTGGACCAGAACAAAAAAATTGGTAGCCCAAAAGAATGCTAAAAGCAGAACTGAACGGATTTAGAAAAAATAAGACGAAAAGCAACGGATGGATTCAGGTACAAAATCTCTCAGAAGGCACAGTTTAAAGAAATACGCCTTTATACTGGCCATTTACCATTAAATTAAAACCTCAAAAAATGGTAAAAGCTGAGACAAACCTGCCGACTCTGTCATAAAACATCAAAAACATCTTAACATTTCTTACGTGTCTGTAAAACGTTAAACCGGAAACAGTACAGACTTTGCGGAAAGGCGATACTAACGTCTAGAGAAATTAGAGAACACCTACTAAAAAAAGGCTCTTAGGTCACAGAGGAAGAAAGTCACCAGAAACTTCTGGACAAAAGGAAAATCATCAATTATCAAACTACAGCTTGTAACATGATAACATAACCAGCATTGATAATACATACAAACGATATAATAATAATATAGTACAAATAATGCAACTGTCCAAATATTAGATCCAAGAAAAGACAATGTAATAATTCAATGAAAATATTAACTGAATTTTATTATTTAAAAGAACTGTTTACATTTGAATAATTTAACTATTTTTTATTCATGATCGTCGATATTGCAAAAGAAAAAATCCAAATAAATTTGAAAAACTAAGTTGTAAGATGTATACATTTAAAAAAATTACGAATAAGAAATTTGTATTATAATAAAGTTTCAAAAAATAATAATTGTTAATATCTTTCTAAAATAATTTTCTACTAAAAAATCAGCGATAAGACTAATTTGAAAGAAATCTAAAAGAGTTTCATCTTCAAGACAAGCTTTCGAGGAATATATCCCGTCCATCCATCAGGACTTAGTTTAGGATATTAATAGTTCAAGGTTAACAAGTATAAACACCTATTCACGAAATATTGATGAAGATAACTTATTCAACGAATGCTTGACGAAAGGATTAATCGCTTTTCTTTCAAATAGTCCCTGATTTTTTACTAAAAAAATTATAATAATCCAAAAATTTATTCTACGGAAGAAAAAATAAATAAAGTGGAAGTATAAAGAATTGTACACATTTAAATATCTTTTTCTAAACAGATATTTGAATAGTTGTAAACGTTTTAAAAATACTGCCTATGTAATTTTTTCAATCAAAGAATTATCAAATTCAATCAAATTATTTTTAATCAAAACATCACTTTTCTGTTCGATTGACTCGATGGAAGTCATAATTGAAAACATACAACAACTAGTGACCAATTAAAATAAATTGTGACAATTTTATTACATCCAAGCCATATTAACACAATAAAAATGCACGTGGTTTTTATTGAATGAAATATTTTACGACTCAAAATTGTTCCATAAATAAAATAACGAAGAGAAGAAAAAATAACTTAAGTTACTCATTTTGCATCCATAATTAAGAAGAAATTTTAATAATATAACGTTAACACATACCGTCATAATTCTCAAAAAAACTGTCAACTAGTGTTTCTCTAAAGTGTGGCTTTATTGGACAGTGCCATGATTTAAGTTATTCGTTAATTATTTTCTAATTATGCCATAACAGCATGAAACGAAGTGATTTAAGTAGTGACAGTTCACCATTAAAACGAGCCGTCATAATTCTCAAAAGAAAATTTTTTCTTACAAATTATAAAGTTATTGAACCAAGTCGAAATTTAAGTTAATTCTTAATTAAGCCACAGCAGTACGTTACAAAGAGATTTAAGTTTTCATAATACGTCCAAATAAATTATAATTCTCCAAAGAAAGTTTTTAACACGGTTCTATCTCTCTTCCTCAAAATTATTAATTTATTGAACCAATTATTAATATAATTTAGTCACAAATTAATAAATAAGTCACAATAGTTTGTAACCAAGAGATTTAAGTTTTGATAATACGTCCAAATAAACCATCATTATTCTCCAAAGAAAATCTTTAACAACGATACAATCCCTATTCCTCTAAATTATTAATTTATTGAACTAATTCGTAATATAATTTAGACACAAATTAATAAATAAGCCACAATAGTCTGTAACGAAGTGATTTAAGTTTTGATAACCCGTCCTAAAATTAAGCGATCATAATTCTCAAAAGATAAAATTTATAACTATGGTTCTATCTCGTTTCCTACAAATTATTAATTTTTTGAACCAATTCGTAATATAATTTAGTCACAAATTAATAAATAAGCCACAATAGTCTGTAACGAAGTGATTTAAGTTTTGATAACACGTCCTAAAATTAAGCGATCATAATTCTCAAAAGAGAAAATTTATAACTATGGTCCTATCTCGTTTCCTACAAATTATTAATTTTTTGAACCAATTCGTAATATAATTTAGTCACAAATTAATAAATAAGCCACAATAGTCTGTAACGAAGTGATTTAAGTTTTGATAACACGTCCTAAAATTAAGCGATCATAATTCTCAAAAGAGAAAATTTATAACTATGGTCCTATCTCGTTTCCTACAAATTATTAATTTTTTGAACCAATTCGTAATATAATTTAGTCACAAATTAATAAATAAGCCACAATAGTCTGTAACGAAGTGATTTAAGTTTTGATAATATGTCCTCAAATTAAGCGATCATAATTCTAGAAAGAGAAAATTTTTAACTATGGTTTTATCTCTTTTCCTCCAAATTATTAATTTATTGAACCGATTGGTAATTTAATTTAGTAACAAATTAATTAATAATTAAGACACAATAGTTTTTAACGAAGTGATTTACGTTTTGATAAGACGTCCTAAAAATAAGAGATCATAATGCTCAAAAGACGAATTTTAACTACGGTTCTATCTCTTTGCTTCCATATTATTAATTTATTGAATCAATTTAAGTTAATCAATAATAAATCTTAATTATGCCACAATAGCTTGTAACAGAGCGATTTAGTTTTGATAGAACATCATTAAGAGAAACGATCATAATTCTCCAAAGAAAATTTTCAGCTATAATTCTAAGTCTTTTCTACAATTTTTAATTTACTGGTCAAAGATATAATTTAAGTTAATCACTAGTTAATCGTCAATTAAGTATCAACAGTTTATGGCAAGATAATTTAGAGTTAATGTTCGTAAAGAAAATAATTTTGGATCATGCAGCCAAACAGGTTTTTATGTTTTCCCAATTTTTCCCATGTACCACAATTTTACTACGAATTAAATATATATCCAAGTGTGTAAAAAAAGTCTATGAAGTTAAATTATTTATTACAAAAGTAAATTAAAATTATTACTTACATAGTTCCTGTTTTGACTGACATGTTGAGCCCGGCGAGTATGGGGGGCCCATAGCCATACCGCTTGAACGCCCCACGCACTTGAACCATAAGGTCGCCGTCGCCGTTCATTGTTGGTGTCGGACTCTTTCACCTAAACAGAAACGGCACATAATGATGTCTGTTGTACGAAACACAGCATGTTACTATAACACGGTCCCCACTTTTTGGGCCCCACTCCACGCGCCGCACCGGGTATCCCCTGGGAGAATCGCTATGCACTTTCCAACTGGCCTGGACAAGGAGTATCCTTTGGCAGTCTGTGTTACATTTTTCCTTTTTGATCTAACTACTAACACTACAAACTCAATCTCTACAACCGGAAATCAGAAACATATGTTGAAAAACCTTCCCCCTGGGTTCCACTGGTACAAATTCTTGACAGCGGACCATCGTTATAAAGAAATTTCCTACATTGGTAATACTATCTAAAACTGTGGAACATTGTTCGAATTTGATCTAAGAGACTAAGAATTCCTTGAAGTTCCAGACTTTGTTAATATAAATATGTTTAATAATTATTTTCTATGTATACGTTAGTAATACATCGGTTATAACATGAACATTGAAAATTTGAACTGCGAAACTAAGCAAACCATGCTTCCAAAAAGTTCCAGATTATGATACATATAATTGGGATAAATTACATATGCGTGTACGTGTTGTAAAAGTATTTGCATATATTACATGATAAGAAATATTACAAGGTAAACTTAATACTATAGACATATAAACACTTTGAACTATTTCTCGAATCAGCTAGTATTGGTTCCCAAAATTATAGTTTTTCCTAATCGACTAGTACTTTTTTCCAACCAAATGAATTCTTTTACAAATAAACTCGTAATTTTTCCAAACTAATTTGAATATTTCGCAAATCAACTAGTACGTTTTCACAACTGACATATTTTTCTAATCGACTTGTAATTTTTTCCAACCAAATTGACAGTTTTTCCCAACTATCTTATATTTTTTGCTAATCGATTAGTCCATTGTCCCCACCAGATTTATTTTTTAATAATCTAGTACATTTCAAAACTATTTTTTTCCAAATTAACTAGTACTTTTTTTCAAGCAATTTGAACTGTTTCGCGAATCAACAAGTATTTCTTTCCAACTAAATCACTTTTTTTTCTAATCCACCAGTACTTTTCCCAAACATTGAAATATCTCGCGACTCAACTAGTACTTCTCAACTAAATTATCTTTTTTCTTAATCTACTTGTACTTTTATCCAACAAATTAATTTTTTTTTCAAATAAATTAGTACTTTTTCCAAACCAATTTGAACTATTTCGCAAATCAACTAGTACTTTTTCCCAACTAACATATTTTTCATAATCGACTACACCTTTGTCACGACCAAATTTCATTTTTTTTAAATCAACTATTACTTTCCCCACTAATTTTTCCATATTAACTAGTAGTTTTCCCAATCAATTTCAACTATTTCGCAAATCAACCAGCACTTTTCCCCAACTAATTTTTTTCCAAATTAACTAGTACTTTTTCCCAATCAATTTGAACTATTTCGCGAATCAACTAGTATTTCTTCCCAACTAAATTACAATTTTTTGCTAATCAACCAGTACTTTTTCCAACCATTTGAACTATTTCGCGACTCTACTACTTTTTGTCAACTAAATTATTATTTTATTTTTATAATTATATTTATTATTAATTATATTTATTATTTTATTACTAAATTTTTAAAGTATTGATTTTCAAAATTATAATTTCTCCTAATCGACCAGTCCTTTTTCCCCACCAGTTTACTTTTTTTTAAATCAACTAGTAATTTTTCCCAACTCATTTTTTCCAAATTAACTAGTACTTTTTCCAATCAATTTGAACTATTTCGCGACTTAACTAGTACTTCTTCTTAACTAAATTAAATTTTTCCTAATCAACTAGTACTGATTTCCAAATTAACTAGTACTTTTCTCAATCAATTTCGCTAATCAACTAGTATTTTTTCCCGACTAACGTATTTTTCCTAATCGAGTAGTAATTTTTTTCAACCAAATTGATTGTTTTTCCCAATTATCTTATATGTTTTGCTAATCGACTAGTCCTTTTCACCACCAAATTATTATTTTTAAATCAACTAGTTTTTTATTTTCTAAAATTTTGATTTTTCCTAATTGACTAGCCCTTTTTCCCAATCAATTTTTTTTTATCAACTAGTACTTTTTCCCAACTAATTTTTTTCCAAATTAACTAGTACTTTTCCCAGTCAATTTGAACAATTTCGCAAATCAACTAGTACTTTTTGTCAGCTAGCATATTTTTTGTAATCGACTAGTAATTTTTTTCCTATTCGACCAGTACTTACTTTTTCCAACCGTTTGAACTATTTCTCGACTCAACTAAATTATATTTCTTCTTAATCCACTAGTATCGATTTTCAAAATTATAATTTTTCCATATCGACTAGTATTTTTTTCGAAAGAAATTTTTTTAAAAATAAACTAGTACTTTGTCTAAACCAATTTGAACTATTTCGCAAATCAACTTCTCAACTAACATATTTTTCCGAATCGTTTAGTACTTTTTCCCAACTATCTTATATGTTTGCTAATCGACTAGTCCTTTTTCCCTACCATATTATTTTTTTAAAAATCAACTAGAACTTTTTCCCAATCAATTTGCACTATTTCGCGAATCAACTTTTTCTTTTTTTTGCGAATTTTTTCCCAATTAAATTATGCTTTTTTCTAACATTTTAAGACTGAACCAATACGTCTTCTGAACTAAATTATATTGTTTTCCTAATGAACCAGTATTTTTTCCCAAACCAATGAAGTCATTTTGTAATTTATTAATATCGTCTCATAACTGCGTTCAATAAACTTTTTTTCTAATTGGATTCATATAGTTGTTCCCATTTTTGTTCCCTTTTGTTGTTTAAATTTCTGGACTTTTGTCACAGCGCAGCGTCTTTTTTTAAAAATATTTTAAGAAGCTTTAAGATCTTGAACTAATGATACCTTTAGTCATTGAAATTCCCCTGTAATCAACATCATTATTTGATTAATACTTTTTTTTTAATTGTGACAATGTTTTCATGTTGTGATATATTGCGTTTGAAATATCAAGATCATAACGTTGCCTTACCACAGAATTATTTCAAAACTTAAAATTAACAGCCGTGAAATAATAGTTCTGTTATTAAATTAAATCAAATGGGTTAATTATGCGTGAAGGACAATATGCAAATGCAACTGGAATGTAATGATTAATTGGAGAGGAAACAATTATAGCCACATGCACTTTTTTTCGAGGAATCGCTTAGAATTATTTATTATAATTTATTTAGATCTAAGGAACTTCGCATTTTCAATCTCCATTGAGCACAAGTTACACAGTTGAACGCCAAACTAGCAATTTACGTTATTTCAGATCGGGCGATTTTCCCCTCGAGACCTTCGATCTTTTCTGGATTCGATATTCATGACAGTTATTAAGGTTCTCGTTGAAAGGTTTTGATAATTTCTTCCCCATACTCAAAAATCTCAAATAAACAACCGTTACGTAAAATTAAATTCTGTCTGGGAGGGATAGGAAAACGACGACGAACAGAGAAACTGATTCGTTTTATGTCCCTTGGCCCACTCTTCTAATTTTCATTGCAAATTAATAAAAAAAAATGTATTTAAAAAAAAACCCCACTCATTTTAATTTCTTGTTTTAAAAAAATCACAACAAACACATTCTAAATATAAACTTCTTAATAAGTATAGCCTTGGTCCCAGAAGATCGTTCTGACAGATAAAACTTTTAAAAGAGTTTAAAAAAACAATTTTATTTTAAATACTTGATTTGTAAAAATAAACAAATAATAGAAACACGATTTACTATTAATACATCTACTAGTGAAAATGGGAAAAAAACCTATGTCTGTTGGACCAAAACCGCAAGGACAGGGAGATCAAAAGATCAGAAACGATCCAACTTCACGTTCATCACCTTTCACCTTGCAAACCTAAAAGAGAAATTCAGAATTTTCCTACTTTTACTTTTTTATTTTAGGTCTTTATCATTTTTCCTGACAACAGAATTTATTTCCTTTTATACAACACTAACCATAACAACGAGGACAGATCAAAAAAATCAAAAACGACGCAATTGCAGGTTCATCACTTTGCATACTTCAAATTTTTCAAGGTTCACTTTTTTTATTCTTGTCATTCTTTCTCGTTTTTCAGTTATTTCAACATTAATTCTAGTTTATAGCAAACAAACCAAAACAGCAAGGCCAGGCAATTTAAATGATCGGAAATGGCCGAAGTACATGTCCAACAATCTACAGACCTTAAAATGAAATTCAGAACTTTTGTTTTTGTCATTTTTTCTCGTTTTTAATTATTATAGTTTCAATTTTCATTTATAGGTTCATCACTCTGCAGATCTCAATAAGAAATTCAGATTTTTTCTTATTTATTTTCTGATCTTTTTTTAATCTTAGCTTTAATTTTCATTTGTACAAAACATAAAAAAACAGCGAGGACAGGCTGTTTAAAAACAGGTTAATCACTATGCATACCTCAAAGTTTTCAAGATTACTTTTTTTTATTTTTGTCATTCTTTCTCGTTTTTTAGTTATTTCAGCTTTAATTCTCGCTTTCAGAAAATATACCCAAATAGCAAGGCCAGGTAAAAAGGCTAGATAAATGATCGGAAACGGCTCGACTACATGTTCAACACTCTGCAGGCATAAAAATGAAATCCCGAACTTCTAAGATGTACTTTTTTGTTTTTGTCATTCTTTCTCGTTTTTTAGTTATTTTAGCTTTAATTTTCATTTGTACAAAACTTAACAAAACAGCGAGGACAGGCATAATAAATGATCGGAAATGGCCGAAGTACATGTCCAACACTGCATACATAAAAATGAAATTCGGAACCTCTATAGATGTACTTTTTTGTTTTTGCCATTTTTTTCACGTCTGTTAGTTATTTTAGTTTTAATTCTCATTTACAGATAATGTACCAAAACAGCAAGGCCAGTCATAATAAATGATCGGAAATGACCGCAGTACATGTCCAACAATCTACAGACCTAAAAATGAAATTCAGGACTTTTGTTTTTGTCATTCTTTCTCGTTTTTATTTATTATAGCTTCAATTTTCATTTATAGGTTCATTACTCTGCAGATCTCAATAAGAAATTCAGATTTTTTCTTATTTATTTTCTTATATTTTTCTTAATCTTAGCTTTAATTTTCATTTATAAATTAACAAAACAGCGAGGACAGGCAGATCAAA